TTTTCCCAAGAGTCCTGATGTTTCCCGAGACGAAGTCGAGGGAAACATCAGGACTCGAGGGAAAACAAAACTAACTGGTTTCCCGAGGGACCTGACATTAAGTGTTTTGTTATATTTCTAGACTTTCACTTCAACAGCAACAAAAGAATAACCGGAGCGAACCAAAACAGTCGACTCGGTACTTATAACAACACAAATTTAATTCTCAAAACCACTGAACGAATGATTTACAAACAAAAGTACTTTCCTCATATTATCTGCATCTTTTTCCTCCACTAGCTGCTGTTTTTCTTCTGGGAACTTCTGGGATAACTTTAAAAATCGTTGCTTTTTAGCTTGAGGCTTCGTTTTTGTGTTGTTGTGTTCATTCACGAAAAACAAAACTGGCTGGACCTGGCGGTGTTTTTCCCGCCTTCTGTCACACCACTTTCCACCATGCTTTGATCACGTGCTTCAATGTATCCCGAGCGGGATACATTTGATTTTAGTCAAGGCCACGTGACCAAGAATCAACCAATGGCAGTCCCTGTTTAGTTGAGTGAAAGTCTAGGAATATAACAATTTCACTTGTCGTAAAACTTAACGAAGACTTAAATTTCCTCTTATGCTGTGCTATTGATGTTGGAGAGAGGCTGAGTGTGAACCTTTTTACGTCACGGTTTTGAGTACAAGGTCACGAATGTACAAGATGATTCTTAAGTTATAACAACAAATTAACTAATAATAAAGAATAACAATGAAGGATAAAAGAGGGTCAATAACGAGATTCTAGTCAACACGCGCAATGAAAAGCAATTCCAATAACAAAAAGGAGTTTAGGAAATGTGTGTTACAAGGTTTACTGAGCCTAAGAACTCGCAACATTCCAATATGAATAAATTCAATAGTGATTGAAAAATGGTTTTTATAACAATAGAGAAGAAAGCTTTGTAACGATCTCTAATGTTTGACTAGTTGCTGTCGAGGAGGAAGCACAACGTTCAACAGACTATTCATTTCTACCACCAATTATCATCTTCGAGCCTTATTCTTTTCTGAAGCCACCCTTCTTGGTGTATGAAGGTTTTACTTAAATTTATTTTTAGCTTACAGAAAACAGGGGCACCCAACGACAATTTCCGGAAAAATATCTGTTCGGAAGACGATTTAAGATCTAGAATTTTCGCAACATTTTTTGTAAAATTTCTTGCTTGCCTGCCTCTCCTAGGATTTAAAAATGGTATAATTGCCTATTTTTAACAGATTTTTACCCTAAAAAGGTCAGCTAGAATTTTCGGGAGCCTTTTTTCTGGCTAAAATTTTCGAAAAGGTAAGTTTTGATCTCTATAATTTTCGGATCACTTGACTTTCAGCTAGGAAATCCGAACAGATGAAAAATTTTTAGGGGATAAAAATATCCATATCTACCGTTTACATAATAAAATACGTTTAACAATTCTATGTTTAAGTGGTTTTGAACTATATTCTCGTTGGGTGCCCCTGAGAAAACTAAACACCGGTGGTGAATAGGATCCCACGTCACCGTTATATGGGGATAAAAAGAACATACATGCGCCAAAGCAACAAATAAACTGAAATATGAACTTTTTAAGAATAATAATTACAATGAATAGTAAAAGAGAGTCAAAAACGAGATTCTACAAACCACGCACAACGAAAAGCCTTTCCCAATATTATGAGAGAGGTTAATGATAATGATTGTCAATGAAGTTTTATCTAAAAATCCCCTGCTCTTAAAAAACAGAATCTAGTCGAAAAATGGTTGTTTAGAAAATAGGGAAGACGCCTCTGTATTAAAAAGGAGCTTGGACGTGCGAGTAGTTGTTGTCTAAGGAGAAACGACGTTCAAAAGTTTTTTTTTAATTACAAATGAATACACCATTTTTTTTTTTTTAAAAAACTATTGATATTCATTTTTCTTAATGATCTTCTTTCATTAGTCACTTTTCGTCTTCCTGCAACAAGAACAACAACAAATCCGTTATCAACTTCTCTGCCGTATGATATAGTTTAAAAGGAGTTTTAGTGATCGAAGTATTTAAGTACAGTGTGTAACCTCGATTTAACATGCAAAGGGACTGGGAAAATGTGTTAGTTAAGTGGAGGGTTTGCTATATCGAACACCTCTATATAACGAATGCTTGGGAAATGTTACATCGTTAAGCGGAGATGAGGTTATAAGGTGTGTATGACTGTGTATATAAACACTTGGATAGTTTGCCAGACACAAGTTCACAGATCTTTGATCTCTTTCTCTATCTCTTTGCCACATTATAGCCATTTCTAATACTTAATCCCCTGAAGGACATCTGTGAGCAATTATTGATCAAACCTTTTAATTTCTAAGGCTTAATTTCAGGCAAGTAAAATGAACTGTTTGTAAAACTTTAACTTCTAATAATTAAATCTTTTGTAATGGTTTAAAATAAACTATTCTCAAAACAGAGAATGCTTTCAGATCATAGCTGTGTAAATCGAACTGAAACAGTGCATGGAACCTTCCTGTTTTTACTCTCACCTTCTGTATAGAATATGTGTGAAAATCTTTGATCATGAATTGGTATATTTCAAAGAGCTACCCAATGACCAAGAATACTATCGACCGACAACATACAGAGGGGGTGGAGCTGTATTGTCAACTATTACTAGAAAAGATTTCTTATTTGAAGGAGGTGGTTAATAGAGGGATGGCTTTTATTTGAGGAAATAAAATATTTTGTATCATCTTACAATAGAACTTTGATTTCCACTTGAAGGTCAAATCCACAGAGCTAAACTTCCAAGGTTTCTTTATTTGTTATAAATGTATGGTTCAGCTACATGTAACAAAGACTTGCCAAAAAACTTATGAATTACTCAACTTGATCAGATATTAAGTGACATTTATATAACCACAAGTATTTGTTATTTTTGCATTCCCTAATACACCTTGTCTGTCTGCCCCCTCCCAATATTGTTGCATAAACTTTGCTTTCAGTCTCTCTTGTGGAATGCAAAATGGTGAATACTGCACTTCAACAGATATCTTTCCATCATAATGAAACAATTCTCTTCATCGAATTCTCATTGACGTATTGTCTTAAAAGTTAAATGACTAGAACGCCCAAGAGCAATGTGATCAAACATTTTAAATTAAAAGTAAAAGAGAAATAGTGAAGAATTACAACTTCTAATCAAATCTTTGCTTATATTTTAGAATAAAATATTCTCGAAACTGAGAATGGTTTGATCTGAGCTGCTTTAAAATCGAACTGAATCACTGCATGAAACTTTTTGTTTTGTGTTCTTATCTATGTATGCAATATATGTGAAAATATCCATTATGAATCTGTTTTTTAAAGAGCTACACAAACAAGAAGACTATTGACCAACCACGATACATACAGAGCGGGGGTAGCTGTAGTGCCAACTATTGATAGATAAAGTATGAAGGAGTGCTGCCATATATTTATTTGTTATGGTCTACAGTTCAAGGTTGCTTTTTGATTTCCGTAAATGGAAATCAGCTCATCCGCGGTGTAAGAACCTGTTAAACTCACAAGTGACGTGAAACGGAGGAAACAAAGAAGTCAACGCAATAGAACGCAGAAAAACAAAAGGTGAAAAACAAAGAAGAAGTTCACAGGTTCTTACAACGAGGTAAACCCTGGAAATCGACAGATTAGACGCCTTACACTACTACATGAAAAATAACTGCAATTTGATTGGCTTAGAGCAATGGTATTTCAGCTTAATTCGAAATACCTACATGTGAAAGTTACAAACCTTTTGCAGGTAGTAGTATAAACAAATATTAGCATGATTTGTATGTCATATTTGGCATAAATACCACTCGTGATATTTCAAAATTGTCTCAAATTTGAAATTACGTATAACAATTTCGAAATATCACTCGTGGTATTTATGCCAAATATCACTATAAATCATGCTAGTACAAAAACAAAGCTCTTCATGTCATATGTTGTGGTAGCTTGCCCTCGATCATGGAAAAAAGAACATGTTCCCTTTTAACGATGATCAACTCAGTAGTATAATAAATATGTTAGCTTCCTCGTGAATTAAACGCTTTTTTCATTCCAAAAAAGTTGAACTAGAAATCATATGAGCTTCCCCCTAATACGTGAAAAGGTGAAAAGGGGTGCCATAACAGAAAACAAACAGAAAGATCTTACCAAATCTTCATCCACTTTGCTGGTTGATGAAGAAGCACTTTCTTTGCTCTTTTTTATTTTTCTCTCCCCGTTATCTCTAAAATCTCTCTTCGCGGGAGAACGTTTTGGCATGGTACAACAGCACCTACAACGCGACGGTTGACAACTAACAAGCGATCGACCAAGCGAGTTGCAAACAACCCAGCAAGTACGTCATGTAAGGTCACCTATTGACCAATAAAAACGCGGGCTCTAGTATTGGAGGGTCATGTTTTGGCCCTCTATTACAATCTTCCCCATGGTAAAGTACCCCCTTTTTGAACGCTTTTATAGCTCCCTTTTTGGATGGAAAAACTGATCGAGAGCTCTTAAACAACATGGCATATTTTGAAGAAGAAAATGGTCATAATAATGACTTTGGAGTGGCTCTACCTTCAGAGCTTTGGTTAGCAATTTTCGAAAAATTTAACCCAGTGTATGATGATATTTTCACATTGTGTCTTGTCTGTAAGAGTTGGCGAAGTATAATTTTTACCAATACTGATCCTTCTCTTTGGGAAAAGATAATCGTAAAGAATGTTAGAAACTGTAGCTACGACAGTGCTATTTTGGGAAGATTCAGAACTATCATCAAACTATTTGGTCGTTTTGTGAAGCTCATTCGGTTACAGAAATGTCATGAACTTTTCACTGAAATTCTCCTCTTGTACGCCCCTCGTCTTTCATTTTTGACTACTCTTGAAATAACTGGTATGCCATGGTCGAAGAGGCTTCTCAGAGCGCTGAGTTGTCAAAAATCTCTTGGGAATGTCACCTTGGAAGGTTCCCTGATTCTTGAAGGAATTTTCAATGAGGATGATTTGCAGCACATCTAAGAGTTTTCCTCAAGTTAGAAACCTTTGTTTGCAATACTCAGTGGTCAAGCCGGATTGGATAACTACTGTAAGAGGTGTCATGATGTCCAAGTATAATCATCACATAACATGTCTGGAGCTGGAGCGAGCAAGAATAGATGCATCTGATCTCAGAGACTCTGTCAAAGAACTAAAAGGCTTGAAAAAATTTAGTTATGGGAATGACCAAATTCATGGTTTGCCATCTACTCAGCAACTTCATTTAAATTCCAAGTCTCTTATGGAAGTGGAGCTTTTTCAGGTTGGAGATTTTGCAGAGTACGATTTTGTATTTCCTAAACTGAAGAAGCTGACACTAAATGGTTGTACTTCTGTGTGTAAACTGGGCATTGATGCATCTGCACTGAGGTGTCTTTATCTACTGCTGTGTGTTGAGGTTCGCAAACTCAACAGAATCACTGCTAACTCTCTGCATGAGTTAAAACTAAGGAGATGCAATGCTCTTATTCCAGCAGAACTGATTAGTCTTTTGGTTAGAAACCCAGACATCAAATCATTAGAGCTTGAAGTGTACTGGTCAAGTTTAAGACTAGATCAGCACTCGACTCCATCATTGGAAAATATCAAAATATTTGACAATGGTGAACGCTTGACCTCAGTTGACATCCGCTGTCCCAAACTGCAGCATCTTATGATTAAAAAGTCAATGACTCGTTCCACTATTTTAAAAGCTGTTTCAATATCATCATTTGATGTCAAGAAGATTGTAGTCAGTGATGTACCTAACCTTCGGAAAATCACCATTGAAGCTGACCGAGTCGCATACCTTGAACTGAACTTTGAAAGAAGGCTAGATCATGTCAAACCTACTGAATATACAAAGTTAAGTTTCAGAAGTAGGATGTGTCAGTTGAAAATCAAGCATCTTGTTATCAAGAAGTGTAATTTGAAAGCTCTAGTTGTTTCTTTGTGCAATGTTCAGCACATATCCCTGGAATACTGTAACCTTGACTGCCCTGTTGGTGATTTGATTCAAAACTGTGGTATGGTGGAATCACTGACTTTGAAGAACTGCTACGGGCCTTGTCAGTTGAACTTAAACAGTGAGCATCTCAAAGAACTCCATGTTGTTTCCTGTACATCACTGCTTATGGATCACATCAATCTGGCTTGTCCATCTCTGGTAGTACTCAATGTGTCAGGACTGTCATTCTTGCCAAGCCAGGAAGAAGTACATTTTATTGCTAGCAATGTTAGGGAACTGTCTCCATTTCTTGGATCTATTAAATTCTCTCATTAGATGAGACCAGTTAAATAACAATCCCAACTGAAACTAAGGAAAGTTGAAGTATGACGACTTTCAAAGATTTACGACGATTTTCCAAAGTCTTCTGAACATTGCTGATTGTGATTTTCTACCAGCTTGAAGCTGGCTAGTTCGCAAAGTTTCAGTCCAGGGCGATCCTATTTACCATAACTCCTCTACTAAGCACCTCCCCCCCCTGCCCCTCTAATAAGCCCCCTCCCTCTAATAAGCACCCCCTTTTCATGGGAAGAAAGTTACAGTCAAACCAGGTCAAGCGTTCCCGTCGCTAACAAACTAATGAATTCATTAATGGAAAAATGATTTCGTTTGTTTATTCAATAATCCATTCATAAAATGAATAATCCAACCGTCAAATTGTACCTCGATTCAATAATCAAATGTTGATTTGGTTTATGAACAAAATCTACCTGTTCTTTATTCTTGTCTGTTGTGTTCAATCGAATTTGCTTCCCTTTTCCTGCCGTTTACGATTGCGTTTTTCATTGCCTTTAATCAAAATAACAGCTAGAATAGACAGACCGCAAACGCAAAGAAACTGACAAAGGCCGAGGATCGAAATCCACCAATCACCGCACATACACTGACCTCAGTTTGACCGTCGTGTTTTCTAAGAGGTCAGGCCTAGGTCTGTTGCACTGATTATTGGCAGCAAAGTGGCGTACATGTAACAGTTTGTTTGGGTTTGAACTTCAGAACTCGCCAGCACTCGACTCTCAGAAAAAAAAGAGGAAAAAACAAAATTCTGAGGTCAACTTGTGGAAAGTGTAATTTTTCAAAAATCAACAAATGAAATCATTTTTCCGTGAATGAATTCATTAGTTCGTTAGTGACGGGAACGCTTGACCTGGTTTGACTGTAATAAGCCCCCCTCCCCTCCCCTAAATATTCTTCACTAATAACACAGATAGACTGTATGAATCAATCAAAACTGTAAAACTTCGTGGGAACTGATCCGGGGTGGTTTATTTACCAACTGGAAGTTCGGATTTGATTCTGATCCTCGGCTGCTTGACCTAAAACTTCTTCTACTAGAGCTTTTCCACTTTGTATTCTAGTTCTTTGTGGAGAACTGATACCATCCTTGTTTCTAAATTAAATAAGCGCCCCGTCTCTTTTAAGCCCCCCCCCCTCAAATGGGCTTGAAATAAATAAGCCCCCCCCCCCGGGGCTTAATAGAGGATTTACAGGGTAAGCAACTAAAGTTCTGGTTCTAGGTCAGTAGCGCTTCTTTTATTTCATTAGCGAAATGACTTCAGACATTGGCGAATGGAACGTTAACGAAACGACGCGTAGGCGAAACTACTTGTCACGCGTGCATTTGTGCCGAAATGCACAAAGGTGTAACTCGTGCCTTCCATGAATTTCTCTTACTAAATAGTGCGCACTAAAATACATTAGCGAACTATCCTTACTCTACTATCCCATAGTTGGTCGCATAGTGAAAAAAGTACGTCAAGTGCAATTTCTCTCAGTCTTATTTTCGAATTGTTCCACCACAACTCATCGTTTATATTTTCTCGCGGTTTTCTTTCCCAAATAGACGTCTAAATACCGCACTGTAACAAAGCTAGCAACACTAGGTGCGCTGAATGTTCTTTTCAAAATGTCGTAAGGATGAACAAACGGTCTAATGTATGCATTTCGAGCTGAGCTTCTCATATGCAAAAGATGTAATTGCCTAACTTCCGGTCGCTGGTCTCGCTGGAGGGGTTTGACAAAAATTGCAAAAAAAATCTATAAAAACCGCTTTGAGGACGTACAATTGAAATAACAAAAAGACAAAAAGACAAAAAGTACAGAAATAAAAAAAGAAAGGAATTGAACAAATGAAGGAAGACGAAGAAAGAAGAAAAGGAGAGGCACGCAAAAATGACAAAAATTCAACGAAAGGAAGAGAAGTCGTTCTGGAGCCCCGTGGTAGGCTTCTGACAGATGCAAGCGAACTATACGCGCTTCCGCGCTAACGATGCCAGCTGACATTGCACATGGAAACATATCCGTTTTGTTATTGCTTTTAATATGACTAAACTTTTGGCTAGCACAAAATGAGCCGACAACATGACGCGCCAGTAATTATTATTCCTGCTCATAAGAGGGAAGCGATTTGTTTTAGAGAATATTAGAACAATATTAGTCATGTATCATTTTCTAACACATGGTGATTCTTTGCAACACATTCCCAATAAAAATATCCATTTTCCAGCAGCGTGCATGGTCCTTTAATCCCACTGTTTACAAGAGTTAATTTTGTTTTTCCTTTACTTCTTGCCGGCAGGTGTTTTGTCAAATGCGTTTTTCATGCCATTGTTTACATTGTAGGGGAGGGTAGAAATTGTAATGTTGCTTCCTCAAAATTAAAGGCAAAACTTAAGTTTTTGTCCACAAATAATAAATTTCCGCCGCAAAATCTGTCATTTAAATGAAATTTACGTATTTTATTGGCTCTTTGTCAATTGATTTGCACAAAAATGTAATAACAAAATACTCCCCTCTCTCCCCTCTCTTCCCGGTGATCAGTGTCTGTGGCTGCTGTGCCATGTGGTCCGCGGAAAACTATTGGCGCGAGTCCGGGTAGTTTGAGTTGGATCTGAAAGTTGACAAGGAGGAAATCTCGATTTCTTTGTTGTCATTCTGGGCGGAATCCCTCAGATTACTCGATGGCACAACAAGGTACTAGTGCATTTTCAGCAGAGGATAGCTCGAGGACGAATGGAACAATGGAAAACGTGTCGAACTCTCAAGACCCGGTAAGTCTTCGCGGTTCGACAGCATAGATGTATTTTGACGTTTGTTAATTATTATCGCCGTTGATCAGTTCCACGAAAAACCATGATCCGCACAACCCTACAAAACTTAACAAACCTCGAATTGTTTAATTTTGTGTTAAGTTGCCGATCGTCATCTACCTCAAGCTCGATTTTCCCTGTGTGTGCTGGAAATACCTTGAAGGACGTCTTCTAAATTTTGTCATGGAGACAGGATTGTCCTGGTCAGACGAGACTTGCGCTGTAAAATTACACTTTCAAATCCTTAAATGGTATGTTTTAAAAAGTCCAATGGCAAATTAAGCTTTGCAAACTGTCGTGAAGATTTCTTGCTTGCATTGTGACGCACTTGCATTTACGCGGAAATGTTTTAATCGCTGGCAAAATATGATATAAGGACAAACTACACCCTCGACAAGAAGTCTTTGTGTCGTAACTCTCGATTGATGTAACTATATGCTTTTCAGGTTTCTACCACTTAACGTCCATTAGTTTCAAAGAAATGCGGGAAATATTTCCCAGACTTGAGCTGCGAAGCAAAATGTGTTGCTCAAGTATTTCCGCTTTTCGCAATTCTTTGCTTGTGTTTATTCAAATCCCCCCGATCTTTGAGCATTGTCGCGCGCCTTTTCTTTGTTATTAGCGATACCATGGAACTGTTACATTTGCATTTATCCACGAATTCGCTAGTTTAATTATCTGATTTTCCGATGGGAGCATAAAGATGGAAAAATACAAATAGCTCATCTTGATCATCCGCTACACCTGGCTGATTTCAACGTTTGTTTTGTCTTTCAAACCCCTTGACATGCTGTTGCGATCACACTGGCCAAGAAATGTTATCATTCCAATTTATCTTTATCTCCATATTACGAAAATAAAAAGCGTCTCTTCTCATGATTATAATTGAAGTAGCATGCGGAAAAAACAGTCTCTATCTATGTCATTCAATTTACTAGACGGGTATCGAATGTCTAGTATGTGCAGCACAAATAATATTCATTACAATTCAGTATTCATTACCGAAAAGCTGTAGACGTCCGGTGGTATTGCAGAAGTAGTGGTTGAGTACATATATAATTGTTTATATCTTTATCGCTCAAGTTGCCACTTAATTTGAATGGAACACGTTCCGGAATATATTTGCAAGCTGTGTGGAAGCTCATTTCCACCACAAGATGTATATCAGGTTTGAAATCACAAACATTCTTCTACATGTCAAAACAATAAGCAGCTCGATTACGCAGTGCTTATAAAATTCGTTTAGATTTATTCATAATAGAAATACAAGCAGAAAAATTTTACATACCTAATAAAGTGTAAGTTTCTGGAGAGAGATTCTGCAATCATTGTTAAAATCCAGAACTGAAGCTTAAATGCCATGATTTGTTTATTAGTGTATTATCAGATGCCGTCTGGAAAATGATATTCAATTCACGCCAACTACTTCACTTAGTACTTGCCACACTGAATAGCTAGTCACATACTTCTTTAACCAACCCCACGACAATCATTTAAACAATATTTCCATAATCTGCTGAATTTTTGGACCAGAATCTACTTGATGTCCATTTTTAGAGAAGTGAATTGTATTATTCTGGAAGGGGCTCATCAGATTTAATGAAATTGTATTTAAAGGGGGTGGGGGAGGGGGGTGGTGAAAGAAGAATCTTCTTTTCAGGCCAGACTTTTCCATAATTTTAAATACAACTATTTCCAGAAATTCTCGGGTGAAGGAAGTACACTATCAATCGTTTTGTGAAAGAAACTAAGAGTAAAGTTTGTGTCACTGTTCGGATTGTGGGATCTTGAGTGGATCTAACCGGATCCAAGCTAAACTGTTAATCTCTTAAACCTGCAGTTATGGCAAAAACTTAACTTAAATGACAAAATGGTCATAACTTTGCATTAAAGTACTTTGATTATGCAGAAAATTGCATTCCCGAGAACACAGTAAATTATTTTCAAACAATTGCGAGGGGAGCACGCCTTCAGACCCACCTTAGCATGACTGTGTATTAACCCTGAGTGATTGTTTTTGAGTCATTCTTGCCACCTGTAGTCAATCAGCTTTTATGATGTACTGTACTACTATTAAACCTTTTCCTGCAACCACAGTAGCTCTGACACATCGATGGTAAAAGCAGATATAAATTATGTATGAAAGGATTAAATCTAAACTGAGTTGACTCAATAATGATAATGGTGATGATGATGATGATGATGATGATGATGATGAACATGATGATGATAATAATAATAATAATAATAATAATAATAATAATAATAATGGTAATAATAATGATAATAACAGCAACTGGATCAGTTGGGTATGTTCTTTTTTGCATGTTGCAGAAATGGTTCCCTTATAGGGACTGCCCAATCGAATACACTGTATTTAGAGAAGGATCCTAAGAATCTGATGTTGTAGGATGTTACTTGGTTAGTGGATGACAAGAACAAATGGTTTGAGAAAATATTATAGCAATGACATCATACATGTAAGAATTTATAGTGCAAAGTGTTGAACACTTTTTGGTCAAAAATGGTGTATTTTCTGTTATCTGTAAGATTGTGAACAATAGCTATTATTGTATAGTACATATGAAGAAAATATGAACTGTGGGAATATATAAGTAAATGAAGATATGATGTAGAACTTTGTAATTGCAATCTAAGCAGTATTGGTATTACAAATACACTGACACTGTACATGTAGTTGTCAACCTGCTTTTGCTGCTTTCCTTTAGCACTTGCAAACTTACGTCAATGGCCTCTCTTGCCATTCCTTCAAATTTTCTTGAAGAACTTGAGTGAATGCAAAACCACTCATAATTCCTTTCGGGATTGTCACATGAACATTCTAACAACTTTTTTTCTCAAAATAGCTGTATATATGAAGACCTATGTACCGTATTTATTCAAGTAAGCGCCCAACCTCGAATTAGCGCCCACCTCGAATAAGCGCCCAGGCTCGAATAAGCACCCACCCCAACCCCACCCCCTTTCACCTCCCAGCCAAAAGAAATTGAATAAGTACTAATAAGAGACTTCGCCAAAGACGGAGGTTTCTGCAGAGTATTTTACAGAAACCTTGCTTTGTTAAATCTTCGAGTTTTGTTATTACCATTTATTGTTTTGTTGCAAAGTAAACATACTACACTTTTTGAAATTGTCAAAATTAATAAGCACCCAGCCTCTAATAAGGGCCCATCTTGAATAAGCGCCCCCTCTCAAGGTCCAAAAATTTAATAAATGCCCAGGGCGGGTAATCGAATAAATACAGTATTAGGAGCAGACCAATTTGTGGAGTTCATCTCAACTCAACTGAAAGGAATGAAGCTTAGAATGAAGATAATATGAACATATAGGAATATTGTTGTGGTGCATTGACGTACATGTATCTATCCTTTATGATTTTACGTATGTTTTGGTAGAGTGCATTAGATCATATTTAAATGTTATTTTTGTGATTTGCAAATAATGAATTATTATTATTATTATTATAACATTGAATTTTTTTAATAACTATTTTCAGAAAGTTTCTTGGGGAATCATGCTTACATAGTAGAGAAAGAAAAAATGTTCCATCATCACATAATTTCATTGTTTATATTTTCACAGTGTCGATAGCTGGATGTCAACCAATAGGTGCACGAGAATTTCTTTAAATTTTGATGGTAATAATAACAGATTACGTGGTTCCAGAAGGTGGTTTTTTGTGTACAAATGTAAAACCTTGTACAGCAAGTAAAACAATGATTTATTTAAACTTAAAGTATTCTTCTAGCATGAAATAAAGACAAATTATTCAGCTTGAGCTGCTGTGTTATAGATGTATATTTAGTCAGTGGAGATTGTCTGAGATCTGTGCCTTGATTAGTTGCTTGTACAAATGACATGTTTATTAGCAACATCATTTAATGATCAGAAATAATGAGTTTAAATGTTCTGAGAATGATTAATATTTAAAAACCATTAAGTGACCCAATGAGGCCATTTTTGTAATGTATTTGTAAAGTAGAATTGAATAACTTTGTCTCCTTAGATGTAAACAATCTATTGATGGAAGTGTTTTATATTAAGTAGTCTGGAATCCTTGTGGGAAATCAAATAAATTTGCTTTTATGATTTTATCTTTTATGTCCTTTGTAAGTTAAGCAAAACCACACTGAGTATAAACTAATCAGCTTATAAACATCTGCAAAAGAAACGAAAACTTGATTCAAACCGTTGCAATCCATTTGCCGACATTTTTATGCTGTTTAGTGCAATATAATTTATTACCAGGTTAAAGTTTCACACTTCCTTGTTCATATTGTGTGTGCAGTGTAGGTATTTAATTTGGATAATCTGTGCACTTTGAGATTCATACCGTGATATGATTGGCTAGGAAATTAATTTGCAATGAATTCAATTATCAGGTAAAGAAACATAACTCTGTTTCATTTGTGTTGCAGTGATTAGAGCTACTTTACCTCTTTGTATGCAACATTTGTGAACTGATTTTCTTGTTTAAGACCTTATGGACTTCTACAGCATTTATGTAAGTCTTGAAGTGAAGTATGCTATGAACATTTGGCATTACTTTTCCAATTCTTCCAGGATTGCATTGTGTTGAACATTTTAAGATAACCCTTAGCGTTACATTTTTAGCATGTTTTAATATGAATTTATTTTAATGACTGGTTTTGGTTGACCATGTTCTATAAAATATGTGATTTTTTTGTTACCTTATTTCAAGTTTTCTGTGGAGGAAAGATTATCAAAGCAGTGATTTTATTGAGCTATTACATTGGTAAACTGTAAAATTTTTTCCTATCCCAACATTCATAAATTTTGTATTTGGATCACCCATTAATTTTTATAAAAATATCTTATGAATTAAACAAAAAGGAAGAAAAATGTAGTATAGCTATAGCTAAAAATACATGTTTTACTTCTTTTCATTTAATTTGTGGCGTTAATAAATAATATTGTGGTACTTTTGGTTGAGAATCTTCCTTCCAAAATAATTCAGTATGATTATTTTCAAAGCTATCTTTCGTTTTGTTTTAACGAAAAAGAATATTGGTTATTTCTATATTTTCTAAACTTGTTATGTGTTATCGCTCATTTTGAAAGAATTGTTTTGTAACAGGTATAATTCTCAAATTTATTTGAAAATGTGTCAATACAAAAGCTAATCATTTTTTTAATGTATGATATATTTCATACAACTGTACTTTGATTTTGAGTGTTGTTTTCTATTTGGGTGCAGAGGTCTGTTTTTTGAGGCAGCCCCTGCAATCAAGGCATATTACTACATGTAGCTGGGTTTTACCAAAGTATACAAATATAAATCTGAATATAAATCTGCTGGGCATATCAGAACATTTTCCTGAAGAATCAGCCAAGCCAGGTCTGCATAAAGGTTGTGGGTAAAATGCATTTCCAGGTTATACCTGTCCAGTATTCAACCAACAACTCGCGACAAAATTAGTTGAGACTATTTTCCCTGAAGTGCCCCTCTGAAGATTTGCAAGTTACAAAGGGGAAATATAGCTTTACTTCCCCCTAGATGCACTGTTGTGCTGCTGTTTGAGCTACCTGTAAAAAAACATTTAAGACCGCAACTTTGAATGGAGGGGAGGATTGTGGATTGTTTTGTTCTCCAAATTTACCTCAGATGAGGACAATGTCTCAACAATTTTGTCACCAATTGAAGGTTGATTCAGAAGCTCCTTTGTTTCTTTTTTCCTTATTGTAGGGAGAAAGAAAATTCTGGTTCAACGTGAGGGCAGATTACCTTCAACATTAGATACACAATCCTCCAGTTGCTATAAATCTAGTTCTTTTTCTGCACAAGGAAAAAAAAATCCTTTTTTCATAAAAATGTTTGATAAGATTTACAAGTAAAATAATTTTAGGTTTTTAGACTAAGCTTACTTTCAAGAGAACTTGAATGATTTGTTTTATGTTGATACAGAGGGATATTTTAAATGCTGAAGCTAAGATTGGATAGATGAAAGCATTGTGTATTTATTCTTTATTTTTCCCTGTGCTGTGATATGTAAGGAAAGAAATGTTGAAAGGCAAAATAATTTTTTTGTACTGTCTGAAGAGGAGTGAAAGCTTTTTTCCATTTTGTTTTTCTCTCTGAGATAGTTCTCTTGAGATCTTATCTGACTTGCTTAAGACCTCATTAACATGAATCAGTGTTTAATTGATTGGTGATAATGTCTCCATCCTGATGATTGTAAAACCTTGAAGTTACGGATTCTAATTAAGGACTGACACTTGAAAATACAAAATATGTTGTTTAAATTCATTGTTGATAATAGTAAACTTTCGTTATGTCAGAACTGAGGGCATTTCATGTTAATAAGATGTTGTGTGAATTCTCTCAACTTGTTCAGGATTATGTTATTTGTTTTGGTATGAGAATTTGTATTTTGATTATATTTAATCCTTGTTTTTCTGTTCTGAAAGATACGTGTGGATTGGATTTTCTTTTAGCTACAGATACTGCGCAATTATTATTGTATATTTTAAGTCGATCCTTGTATTCTGATATTCTGTTTTCTGACTGATTCGAGAATGGAGTTTATGTGAAACAGGAAAATGTTAATGTTTTACCATGTTATGTCTAAGATCCTGTGTTTTGTTAATGAACCATAAATCTTAAAGTGTTAGCAGCTGGTAGGGCACTAGTAGTAAATTATTAAGACATTGTGAGGGACTACATTACAGAGAGTTTGGCAGCTATTCTAACTACATTTACATGCAGGGATCAGGGCGAAAACTCAGGATTTATATCATGGAGGTATAGCTTCTTTATGTTAACCTGTGTTTGTAACCTTTTTTGACGTAATAATGTTGCTTTCAAAGGGATCTGGCTGCCATTGTAACTTTAATCTGTTGAAAGCCTTTGTTTGAGCTTGTCTGTATTCAAAAGATTTTATTTTGATTCCTTCAAATGGAATGTGACAGGTTAGAGTAGGCTAACTTTGTGTTTATGTTAAGCAGTAAGACTAACTGTATGTGCCCTGGGGCAGCACCTTGTTTTGAGTCAAAATATGTGTAAGGTTGAGACCAGACTTTCTCCTAGCAAAAATATTTTTCGTGTTTGAGTACAATGTCCATTAAAAAATATTTGAGGGTTCTATATTATCTGGTCTGAGAAACTTTCATTACTGTTGGCAGAATTACTTTAATTCTTGAGTAAACTTTATGTGATTCATCAGTATGACTTAGCTATATCAAATGGGCTATAGGTTCATTGTATATGATTGTCTTTCAGTAGAATGAATATACACCTGTATTTCTTTATTATAAATGCAAGAGAACACTGCTATTATCATTGGTAAATGAGACCTCTGTGGTCACACAATGTAGTTATTTTTCACCACAGTAATTTTTAGATTTTAAATGGAAGTGTATATTTGTTTGGTTTTTTTCTTTTCACACTAAAATTTTTGAAGGAGTTTTTTCGGTAATTGGGTTAATGGTACCAATTACTGACCTAATAAGTGACACCTTGGGCAGGTTTTTTGTGAGTTTACTGGTATTCTACCTGTTTAATTGTATTGACATGTGTAAGCTACAATTGTTTTTGGCACAAAAGGTTGAAAGCAGTTTATTAATTATGTATTAAGTTGTGAGGTCTCATGGAAAGGTGTCTAACTTACATTATTTTTTCTTGTTTGGAATATTTGAATGTTTAGTCTTTGGTAAATTAAAAATATAACATTGTTACCACAAAATGATACACAGTATACATGTATTTGTTGTCAACTTCTGTTTTGGATTTTTGGTTTCTAATAATTGCAGAAAATAATAATTTATAGCTTTCGTGAAGGTCCTAAAATTTTTAAGACAAAGCACATAAATTGATATTTTTTTGTGCTTGCCACTGTCTATAGAGGACCAAGGAAAATCACTTTGTTTATGAGTGTGGATAGAATTTTTCCTGGAGTTTACTGTTGAAAATGTGGTCTGTTCGTATTCAAAAATTTCAGACAGGTTCCAGATAGGTCAGTGTTAGTGTAACTGAAGGTGTTCATTTTGTTTTAAATGCCAATCCTTATTTGCTATGGAACATGAGAAGTTACTCGTGAATGATAAAATCACAGCTTCATGTCAAACAAGTATGTCTCCCAAGCATCATAATTTATCAAACTTTACAAGCCGAAAAAAAAAATGAACTTTGAAAAAAACTGTGAGACTAATAAGTTTTCAAGAAACACAGTATTATTGCAATCCGTTTCAGTCACAGCTTTGTCCATCCATGGCTCTTTTTGTGCTGGTTGCATTATTTGTACCTTCTTTTCATGTTTGCGCGCTTACTTTTATGTCTCACCCAGTTTGATGGTGGCTTCCACTGTTTAAGTTTTGATAATTTCATGACACAGCTCCTGTAACATCTAATGGCCTGATGTCTGAAAATTTCCTCCACATTGTGTCTTTGCACCCAGGTGTGAAAATAATATTGTGTTGTTTTCTTAGACAGGAAAATTTGCTCCACTTTGTCTCTTTAAGCCCTGTAAGTAGAGATAGGGAGTCCAAGAAATACATGTAGTGTCTCCTTCTTTGAATTTATTTTTTCATCTTTGTTTGATTATCATGATTGTACTGTGCATTGTAACAGGTCAGCAATGGTGTTCAGTACACTCAGCCACTCCCTGTTCAACCCTACACAGAGGTTACGTTACCACCGTCCATAGACACAACGCAACAGCTACAGTTGCAGACTCATCAGCTTCAGCAGGCTGGAACTGACTTGCTTGTACAGAATGGCGACACCGGACCAAAGAGACTTCATGTCACTAACATCCCATTCCGATTCAGGGATCATGATCTTGTTCAAATGTTTGGGGTGAGTTTTGATGATGACGATGATGATGATGATTATGACAATTATGAGCGCTTTATTTATTAAAGGTTCCAGGCAGTAACATACCCTGTACAGACCTTTCTGTGTTATTTTGCAAAGTCTTCATTAGTAAACTGAAATTTTACTTGATATGGGCTTCATATTTCTAGGGAAAGGTTATTGTTCTGTCCCCGGTTGTTCAAATGTTGGATAGTGTTATCCACCAGTGATAAATCACTATCCAGTGGATAAGTATTAGGAAAACCAGTTGCGTTATTGACTGGATAGATTTTTATCTGATGGATAGCGCTATCCAACGTTTTAACAACCAGGGCCAGAAGGTTTTTCTTTTTTCACAAATTGCATTTAGTTTCTTGGTGTCACCAGGGCTTGAAAAAAAGTCCCATCCAGCAGTCTGGGACAAGTAGATTGTCTTGCTGGGCAAGCAACTTTTAAAGCTTCCTTGCCTGATAAGGAAGGGTCCATTTTAAAGCTTCCTTGCCTGATAAGCAAGGGTCCAGGAAAGTCATCATCCAACTAAATCATTAGCTAAGACAGGCAAGAAGTTGCCCCAGATTAGCAAAATGCAAGAACCACTGGCCCAAAGGACGTGCTGGAATTCAAGTGTTTTATGCAAGTCCTGTGGGGTTGCAGGTGTTTTGATCTTCTTATGTCATAACACAAAAGATAGAATAGAGACTGGACAATACTCACCCCACAACTGCATAGTCAACCAACAATAGATGGTTTTCACAGTGACGTCATGAAATGGTAAAGTCAAAATAGAGAGGTTTTACTGATTCTTATTATTTACACTAGGTTGAAGATAAACAAAAAATAAATCTTTGTGCAAGTTTCCAGTCCCGTAGTATGTTTCATTTCGAAAATACAGCAAATTTGAACTTCCCAGTTTTCACAGTGCGTGACACCAAAATAGGAATGCTATCTCATTGAAAAAAAGTCTCTCCTAGCTTGATTTTCAGCAGTATAACCATTTCTAGTATTAGAAGATGTGTTTATGTGCATGTATGCCAGTTCTCAAGTGAAAAGAACGATCTATAGTTTCCCCAGCACCAAGAAGCACCCCAAATTGTTGTTATTGGTATTTAGTACTGGTACTGTACACGCTTAATAAAATATCTTCCAAGTGAAAAACTTTGTCAAAGTAGAGCACTACTCGTACATCGAGTGCAGCCTGGTCCCAATTTGAAGGTGTCGCGTTGCTATGTTGACTACTTGTTTCCCCAAATGTGTGTACACCCACTGTTCTACGTAGAGTTTTTTCGAAAAAGCCACCAGGCAACAAGGCTTTTAACGTAATGCTAATGGGTGCTTCATAAAAAATAGAATTCTTGTAATTACATCATGGGGTTGATTTGACCTTTTGTAACACTTTTTTATTTCAATCTCTTGCAGCAATTTGGAAGTTTAGCAGATTGTGAAATCATTTACAATGAACGAGGATCAAAGGTAAATTTTATTTTTCAAGGCTTGCCTTTCCTTCAAATGGACATCCTGATGACAGACCTAGGTAATCTGATTATAGAGGTGTCCAAGAGTGATCTGATTATAGCGTCCAAGTGGTCTGATGATAGAGTTGTCCATTATAGAGTTGTTACTGGAGGGAAAGAAAGATGGGAAAAGAGAAAGGGGAAGACTGAAAAGGCAGTGGGAAAGGGACGTACAGGATATTTTCGATATGTCTGTAACAGAAGTTGGAAGATTGGCAATTAACAGAAAATGTTTACGTGGCGTGGTCAAGGATGCAACGTGTCCTATAGGGATAAGCAGTCAGCAGTCAGCAGTCAGCAGTCGAATAGAACTGTCTGACCTTAAAGAGAGGTTCAGTATTGGTGAGATTTAGAATGCCGTTTACGGCAAACTGCAAACGCCAATTTGTACCACGTGACCAAGGTCTCCCTTTACTAGTCGTTTGCTGTGCATTATTTGTACCCAAAGCCATAAACGTGTATTAATGATGATATCACAGCATTCTTTGATTGTTTTTAAAGGTTTTGGTAGTTGATAATTTGGGCTTGAGTCTGAAAAAAGGGTTGATTATGTGAAGAGACTAGTGATCACGAAACCAATAGACCTCTTTTACGTGAATGTTTTTTATTCAGTGTAGGTCACGTGATAATACTCTAGTGAAGCGTTTCCTTTAAATTTCAACTTATTCATGAGCGTGTGTATGCATAATTATTAATGAAAAGACAAAGGATGAATTTCCATGAGAACGTCACATGACCTTCATTTGGAAATTAAAACATACAGGCCAAAGAGTAGCCTGTACACAGACGTTGTTTTAGGGCCTGTTTACATGGAGGTGGGGGACCCAGGTAGGTGAGGTAAAATATGGCGGGTCACCCCACCTATCTTGTAAACGTGATCAAATCAAATGAGAGATGAGAGATTGTATAGAGAAACGGGTTACCCCACCTAAACGGGTTACCTCACCTACCTGGGGTCCCCCATCTCCATGTAAACAGGCCCTTATTTTTCTTTACGTTCTTTTCGAAAACATTGGCGAGCACTCGGGCGAAGCGAACGCGCGAGAAAGAAAAATAAAGAACGTCTATTTTCTTCTTCTCCCATCTCTACCTCCTTGCGCTGGCGGTCAATGAACCCCCCGGTTTTTTATTTTTTATCACGCGCGCTCGACGGACTTTGAAGAGAAAATAGAGGGTCTGTGAAGAGGCTAGCTAAAGAGGACCATCAGATATACTCATAACATTTTACGCTAGTTACAAATTCAAATGTATGCCTAATGTTGTTGTTGTCCTAGGGATTCGGCTTTGTTACGTTTGTGAGTTCTGCGGATGCAATGAAAGCAAGAGAAAAGTTAAATGGAACTGTGGTTGATGGAAGAAAAATTGAGGTATTAGAACTATATCAGGCATTTGTTTTTCTTTGCAAGTTACTTTCTTTTCGGTGTTGTTTTCTCGTTTGTTAATAGAAACAACTGATGTGAGCCCGTGACAAAAGGGTGTATAACTTGAGAAAATTTTGCCCTCAACCTCTCCTATCGATTTCTATGACAAGAAACCTGCGGTTATATTTAAACTTGGTGGTCGTTGTTTTGGACTGAGTGATACTCCACCTTCACAACCAATACACTTAAAATACTAATCCTATTCATCGGTGAAGATTTTAAATAAGGAAATTCGTTAATGTAAAAACTCCTCAAGTTACTTTCGCGTAGTTTTACGAATAGTCCATTTTACAGTTACAGGTGGATTTGAGGCTTGTGTTGACGTTTTTTTTATATAACCCTTCCTACTTTATTATGTAAATCATGTCTTTCTTATCCTACTGTGTGTAACTAGTGTTTTTTTAGCCATGATTTCCATGCCCAAAGGAAGAAGGTTTGTTTCAAAACAAGGTCAACCTCAGCCTCACGTTCACTCAAAGGCTACGTTACTAAGCCCACAACTTTAAAATGGTCTATTGTCGTTTATAGAATTGTAAAAATTATTTCCAAGTTTGAAGAATTATGGTTAAGATCACATTTAGGTGGTAGCGAAAATATCGAGCAAAGCTTTCGCCTTTTGCCTTGAATCAGGAACTGTTTGACGTCTTTCGCTTTCAGAAAATTTTCAGGGCAAGATTCGTTACACCCATTTTTCATTGAGCTCTGTATTGTGCTTTGACTTAACGCTAAGCTGTTTGAGCAAATCACAATACACAGTAGAGAAAGATTTCGTACGACCTTGGAATGATAACGCTGGAACGCAGCTAAAACAACAATCTGATTGGTTTAGGTTAAACGCGTACGGCCTGAGATTGGCGTTTCGAACGGAGGCAAACTCTGACGTGTTCCTTTTTCAGATTACCCGGCAACGGAAGAAAAATTTGCGCTACTTGTGATTGGCTCAGCAAACAGAAGCGAACACTTGCTGCTTGTGATTGGCTTAGCAAAAGGGAGCAAGCGCGCGCTGCTCTTCATTGGTTTAGCAAATGGAAGCAAACACGTGCTGCTTGTGATTGGCTTAGCTGCAAGAGAGAAAATCGTGTTGTTTGTGATTGGTTTAGTGTTATCATCCTTCTGATGTGTTTTATTTTTCCATGGACGAAATATTTTTAAGCCCAAAACGAGCGAAGTACCAACAAGTTAGACTGTTGTTCAGGCTCATGCGAAACATAAGTCGCCCTCTTACCGCATGTGTTGCATGATTTTCACATTGACACTGATAATTTCTCACTTAGGTTAACAATGCAACCCCTCGTCCGCACGCCAAAAAAAGTCCGGGCCAAAATCGAGGACCCTATACCAATGGTACAGCATGCTTTGTTCCTACCCCTTGTCATTTTGTTGATCTCTAGCGGCATGTACTGTGTGTAAGAGAATGCATGTGTCCGCCATTTATTATGACTGATCTTACAGATAAGTATTGTGTCCAGCTTGTAACTGAATTGTTTTTTAAGTGATTTTGTTTAATGGTTATAATTAGCATTGTTTGTTCCAGTGTTTGAATTAAAGGTTAGCTATAGTGGCTCTGGAACAATAAAGTTAAACGTCATGTCTGCCTTCAAGCATAGCTCAAAATGTCCTCCAAACTCTCCTTAAATTCTAACTAAAAATATGAACTATCTCTTTGCTTATAAATGAATTTAAATTTAATTTATTTTGCATTTAATACACGCAGTTCTTACCATAATACACAATGGTCTCAAAATGTAGTTTACTCAACAGTAAAATAACATGCGTTTCTTTTTTCTCCTTTGGATATAACTTTCTGAAATTTTTGCTAATAAGGTGCTCGGCTCGCGACTGACATAATATTGTATCTAAGTTTTGGGTGGTAAAAAATTATTGGTTATTTTTACGTTAAATTATTTAGCAAGCGAATCATTCTGTGCATTCAAAAAAAGAAGATAAAAAAATTCAAAATCCCTAGCTTTATGGCATATTTCATTTTTCCATTTTTATTTCGTGACTCCCGTCGGTGCTGCCTGGTTTTCGAAGACCGTTGATGGCATTTGTCATCATCTGCAAACTTTTGATAGTAAGTCTCGATACTTCAAGCTAGTGCACATTTTCAAGTTCTCTCCAGTAAATTACGTACCGTTGAAATAAACTCTAGTGTAACATATATTCGTAAGGAATTAACAGTGATACTATAACTACTTTAAAATCTCGTTCATCTTTCAAGCTGTCGTTACCGTTAAATTTCCCAGATTGATTTAATTGAAATGCTTAACCGTTTATATTTCAGGCACCGCTTTTCGTGGAATGAGAGGAGTTCGAAGAGCTTCTCCCGTGAACAAGTTTAGTACACGGACAATTCAGCCGCCACAGGTGTCGGCATATAATGGCGCTTACTCCGGGTAAGATAAGCGAGCTCCCTTTACAGTTCTTGCCACTACGACGGATCCAACATGTTTGCCCAAGGGGCCGAGCCCATAGACTGCGAGCAGTCTCTTATTTTTCTTTGCAATTTTACTGCACACGAAACCTAGGCACGCGAGCAGCAAAGCCGCGAGAGGGCGTAAGCCCAGAAGAAAAAATAAGATCCGTCTTTTCTCGTCTCGTCTCAATCCCTTATTGTAATAATAACATCGTGGTTTGCAATCGCGCTGGATGAGATAAGAACTAGACGGATTTTTAAGAGAAAAGGCGGACTGCAAGCAGTCTACCGAGCCCAGGGCTGTCTCTAGTAGCTGGCTACTGGAGTAGAATCAGCCGGCTAATGTAAGTTTGAAATTGAGCCAAATGAAACAAATATAGGAAGATTAGTGGGAGAAGTAACCAGCTTCTTTACCAAGTGTTGAGAACCCGTCTGTCCACACTTGGTGCCCGTGTACTAGTGCCTGGGTATCGGCCCTAAATGATGTTGTGTTTATCCTTGTGTACCTGATATGTAACCGAGGATGTATTTGCTATATTTCGCTCTGTTTTTCACTTTGAAACATGAGTTTAGCAGGGAAGAACAAAGTAGTGATTGCCCTAGAACTAAGAGAAAACCTGTGCACACAGGTACCCGGGGCCCCCTTTAGTGCCCAAGTACAAGGTTTCAGCCAGCACTGTACCCGGCCACACTGCCTTGAGGGTTTGTTTACTCTCGGTGCCCGAGCACCAGTGCCTGGTTACCGGCACAAAATGGTGTTGTGTTCACACCTTAGAGTACCCGATAAGTAACTGGGTACCTTATTTAGCCCCTTTCGCCCTGTCATATTCCATTTTGAAACTTGAACTTAACATGGAGTACAAAGCAGTGAATTGCCCCAGCAATGTGCGCACAGTGATCCGGTGCTCACTTTCGTGTCCTGGTGCAAGGTCTCCAAATCTAAATAGACCATTTTACAGTTGTGGACTTGGTACCCTTGCCTTCGAGTGAATGCGAGGCTGACGGTGACCTTGTTTTGATACAAACCTCCTTTGCTTTGTTATGGAAATTGTCCTTGAAAAATACTAGTTAGTATAAGAATAACTTGTTTTACATAATAAAGCAGGAAGGTTTGTATCAAAACAAGGTCACCCTCAGCCTCGCTTTTATCCGTAACTGTAAAATGGCCTATTAGTGCAAGAATGAATAGATTTACTAACGCTGTCCACTGGATGTTTCTCAGCCTCGCTTTTATCCGTAACTGTAAAATGGCCTATTAGTGCAAGAATGAATAGATTTACTAACGCTGTCCACTGGATGGTTCTCTATCCACTAGACAGCGCAATTGGTGTCCCTAATATTTATATGTTGGATAGTGATTTTTTTTTTTTGGTGATAGTGATTGATAGCGCTATTCAACGTTTGAACACTTTTTAAACCGTACAATAAACGCATAGTTTGTCCTTTAGCAAATCTAAATGTAGCTTGCGTTTATCCGCCACCTCTCACAGGCGTATCTAAAACAACTGACTGCGCCTCGTGTTTTGTACTTAATAAAACACTCCCCCTCATTTTTTTTAGCAATACGTAACACGTTGCTTACCTCCTTCAAAAAGTTAAGTTCTAGTACAATTCAACAAAAGCGCCTTTGGTTCGTGGTTGTTGTTGTGGTTGTTGTTGCAATTTTTGATAAAAGGACAAGATTTCTTAACTTAAGAAAGTGGAGCCGGGCGAAGTCGAGTGGTTTAGGAGTTCATGAGTTACAAACTGTTATGGTTTTGAACGACTTATCTCTACAGAAAAGATGTAGTTATTTTGTAAAACTGCAGCAAAAACGTATAAAGTATTAATAGAGTGTTCACGTGTTAAAATTTTTTGATTGAGTGTATGTTCTTTTTTTCAGCAGTTACGACGGATATGATCAGGTATGAGTGGCATTTGTCTTTTTGCGCAATTTATTTGTACTTTTTTTTCTCCAATATGAGTCATTCTATCTCAATCTTCAAACCTGCTTGTAATAGAATCGCTTTGTTCTACTTTTTGTTTTCAGACATACGGTGCCAGAAGAATAGGAGGTTTCACGGGGTAAGGAAATCTGGTGTACCAGTATAATGTCTTCTTTCCAGCGCGAACAATTAAAACCAATCAGATACTCCTGGAAAAAAGGAGCCTCAAAATCAAATAAGGAGACCTCTCACCGGCTCAGAAGTGAAGAACTAACGTAGGCCAATCCCGTTAGAAACACTTTTGCATTTGTTTTTTACCATCACAGCAGCGACCACAACACAAACTTGAAAAGCGCTAGACACCTCGTGGTTTTCTCTATGCTTGGATCGGTTTGCTAACTTTTGTATTAAATTATCTGTTTTCATCAACAGATACGAAACAGCAGCCTATGGAGGTGGATATGGCCCGGTAATGGCTTACTTTTTTGGATAATTGTTTGTGTTGCATCACTGCACCATGTCATTGGCTAAAAATCACGCAGGCTGTCTAGTAATCTTATTATGTTATTTGTGTTTTGGGATTCCAGTAATGGTTCCTGTTCGATCCACTTTCCCTGTACTGAATCTCATTGTTTCACTTTTTCACAGGCAAGCACTTATGTTGCTCCTGCGCCAGCATACCGGCCAGCGGTTCCTCCACAGGCTCCTCCAACAGGTTACAGTACAGGATACAGATACGCGCCATATTAAATTACTTCCGGTTAATGGCACATACGTACACGTTGCACAATAACATCCAGGACAGAGACACAAGTAATCGAGGTCTAAAGTTCGCCGAATCCGTGAAAGCGAACCCTTGATTCGATCATTGTGAATATATGAATTATGTAAATAGTAGGTATTTGGCTGAATTCTTTCAGGAAATTTGAGCGGAAAGTAGGAGTTGTAGAAAGTGAATAGAGATGATTCATCATCGCAGAAACCAGTAAGCTTGAGTCACGGTTGAGGCTCATTAAGGAAAGAGACGAAAAAGAAGTCTTTTAGACTCTTGAAATCAACCGTTATCTTTTTACTGAAGTACAAAGAATAAATAATTGAGTTGCACTTCACGTGTTCATTTTTTCGCTCAGGACGCTCCTTAAGTTAGCTTTACTACCTAAACAAGACGCTGTGGGAGCGTATAATTGGGCATTGTTGTACTAGGCGTAAGTCATGTTTTCTACGTTTATTAGGGATGTGTGAGTAGTGCAGTAGCGTTGTACATTTTAGGGGTTGGTTAAGATACGTGAATTGGAAGGCGTGGAGTTATCTTGGACGTGGATTAGTAAGATAGTGGCTGTAGTTTGTTAATCAGTGAAACTGGTTTCTCTTAAAAATTGATATGAAGTAACAAAAAATACTGTTTATGGAAGGTAAAAGTGATTTTAAGTGTTTCAGTGAGGTAGTTGTGGAAGCGCTAAAGTGAACGTTCGTGAACTAGCCTGTTTACAGCTGCCCCTTCCTCTCAAAAAAAATCGAGGAGGCTCTCTCGCCCCTCTCCACGATTTTTTTAGAGAAGGGGGCGGCTTTAAAGAGGCCAGACAGTAACTTGAGGGAATTTTTTGAAGCTGTATAAGGAAAACGTTTGTTTTCTCACTAAATAACGTACGTAATTCGTTGGTGGTTTAGTGTTGTCGTAGGGCTTGTCAGTCGCTCTTAGCGTAGGATAATTACCTGAGAAAACAGCCGAAATTTTATAAGTGGCGCCACCACTGGTTTCCCTGCGAAATGACGTCAGAGGAACGAGCGCAGAAATCTCCCAGTTCTCTGTGTAGTGACACGTCATCCGTATGGAACTTCTGCGCTCTTTTCGCTGGGAAAGCAGTGGTGACGTCGCGAAATGTCAGCTTTTTTTCAGGCTACATGAAGCAGAGACACTTGAAATGTGTCTTTTTCTTTTATTTGGGAACCTTCACAGTTTAAAGCAAACTGACCTCAACTTGTTAAGTTTTATTTCATATCAACTGATCATGTGTAGTAGCTTAATCATTGACAAGATTGCTCGCGTGAATTCTTGAACATGTTTCTCTGTTTTTCTTTTTTGTTCTTTATCTAACCTGCGATAGCTGATATGTCGTCTTTTTGACGCTACCTCTTGCCATTTGGGAATCGTCCGCCTCTTCCCGGTCCCCGATTTTTGTTTGGTTCTGGTGATGATTTTGCTGGTTTTTGTTTCGGCCTGTACCTGGTCCCTGGTGTTTGTTTGGTTCTGGTGATGATTTTGCTGGTTTGCCGGAGATTGTAATAGGGAATCGGCCTGTACCAGGTCCCTGATGTTTGTTTGGTTCTGGTGATGATTTTGCTGGTTTGCCGGAGATTGTAATAGGGAATCGGCCTGTACCAGGTCCCTGATGTTTGTTTGGTTCTGGTGATGATTTTGCTGGTTTGCCTCTGTTTTTGTTGTGGTTTACTGAAGGTTTGCCTTTGTGTTCGAAGGGGAATCGCCCTCCCCTTCCTGCAAAGTGTGATCTGGAGGTTTCACTGCTTGAACCTGTAAAAAATATATATATATAGAAATTAATACATAATAGTCTGATGCTGTTGTCTGATAGCAGAAAAGGAGAACTTCCTCAAAATCCTGTTTCACCAGTGCAGCCTAATTTAATGGTGTCCCTGGTCTAGAACCGCGGGATCCAAGAACAAAATTATGATGTACAGTCCAATGTCCCTTAACGGGCACCTTTATCAGATGGACACCTAAAGTTGGTCCCTGCCGTTCTTTACTCCTTTTAGTTGACTCTTATAAGAAGGACATTTCTCCAAGAGGGTCACAAGGAGCCGGTCCTAAAAGAGACTGTAATTCATGCGCACTTTGGAAAGCCACACAAGATCTTCAAGCATTCCAGTATTGCTGTGTTTCGTCGATTCCTCTTACCATGGAGTTTGAGCCCACTGACTTTTTAAACAGAAAGTGATATAGTATTTGATTGGGAATGTGTAGGTTAGTGACCGTGAATGAGTTCATTTTGTCGAAGGCTGGGCTTGCGATCGAAATAGCCCACGTTCTATATATCAAAATTCTAACATGAATCCGAGGCTTTAGGGTCAAATTTGCAAATTTTTCAAGACTCCATTATCTCCCAGATCCCAAACGAGACTTGAGCACAAAGAAAACCAAACCAAATATAGAACAATGACCAGAAAGTCTCGGAGTCATGTTAGAATTTTGATAAATCGAACTTGTGCTTAATCGTAGAAGTATCCGACCTCGTTTCCAGGGTCTTTCATAGCCCCCGTAAAGGTTTGTGTTGCAAACCGAAATATCGGGCAAATATAATTCACCATTTTAGTTTTGTTTTCTTTCTTTATTTTTCTATCACAGTGAGTTCTGTAAAAGACCTCGGCATCACAATCTCGCATGACCTCTCGTGGACTTTACACGTTGTTGACTAGGTTGTCAATAAGGCCAGTAAAGCTCTTGGTCTAATCAAGCGAACAATCGGTACTGTAAACAAGGAAATCTTTTCCACATTGTACAAGGCTCTTGTGAGACCAATCCGCGAGTACGCCTCACCTGTATGGTGCCCTTACCTAGTTAAGAATATTGTTCTCTTAGAGAAAGTTCAGAGAAGAGCCTCTCGATTGGCCTTAGGTCAGCGAAGGGGAGAGATGTCATACGAAGATCGCTGCGAAATGTTATACAGTAGTCGCAGTTGACTGATAGAAGGCTATATTTTCTTTGATTGAATGCTATAAACTTGTATTCGGATTGAATAGCCTTTGTTTTTGCGATTTTTTTTAGTTCGCTTCAAAACGTACCAGGTCCAATCACAACTACAAACTGCAAGTTAAATCGGCGAACTGTAATTGTTATAAATATTCTTTCTTTGTTAAAATTATTCGTGAATGGAATGACCTGCCCGCCAATGTTGTTGAGATAGCAAATTTAAGACATTTTAAAATAGCCCTTAAATCATACATGCGTATTTCTTAGGTTTTTTATCCATCTTAGATTTTATTCATAAACATATAGTTTTAATTTTTATTTTTGAAAGTTTATTTACATAGGGTTAACCTCTTAAACTTCCTTTTTAGGATATTATTTGTGTCGTTTATTTCTTATGATACCTTAAATGAAGTATGTATGTTTTTTTTATGTATCACTCTTCCTGTCGTAAGGATTGAGTTTACTGTTGTAATTTTAAATTTTGGTATTGAAGATTTTACTGATCCAGGTCTACTAAAGATCCGGCTGACCTCACTAGTTTGTCGCTTTGATATACTTTGCCTTCACAAGTGATTCTTTCATCTTCCCCGGCCCAGAAGAAAGGAAAGAAGAAAGGCACTGGAAACAAGGTTTAGAAGTGGATAACTGCCATAAAATATAAAAGTTAGGATTTACCGTCGATAAACCACCACCCACAAGTTCGTGATCTTCGGATTCAACTTCAGAAACTGTATCAACTGTGTCACCTCCATCAGACTGTTGTTTTTTAAAGCCAGACTCGTGTCTCGTGACATCCTCGTAATCCCTGGTGGCTTTTCCTTCTATTTCAGTGGACATCAAAACCAGAGCCAGAAGGCCAGAGACTAAAAATAATGCACCTTTCATTTCCAGTCCTAGTTATAACAAAGATAAAATAGTTAAGATAAAAGGTAATATAAATGGGGCTTGAGAATCTTTTCGGGCTTCCGTTCTTTTCTCATTATACACCTATACAATTGTTTTGTGAACTGTCCGGACAACAGTTTATAAGTTTAACAAACACGCCGCCACGATGCACTGACGGACTTACCCTCCTAATTTCTCAAGTGGACCGAGCTAAGTGAATCTGTCTATAACCGGCTCTCTTTTCGTTTATACAACTGAACAGAGTTCTAAAGAGCACTTATCTACACACATTCATTACGGTTGCTAAATTATTTATGATCCCAAAACGGGTTGGATTATATACGACAATGGACTCTATTGGCCGTTAAAAGGAAAAGGTGCTATGAACCAATAATTATGATGCCTTTTTTTTAGCTGTCGTTAGATTATCTGGACTCGCATTTTCACTTGAAGATCTTGGGGTAACAAATGGTTCCCTTTTTCCGCTCAATAGCTCCTTTATACTCAATGCCAGTTTTCTGAAGATTGATGTACTGTCTTGAAGCCCGAGCAACCTCAAGAAAATCAGGTTATTTCTTCTCTCTTAACGACCACTTAACGTCTGCTCAAACATTTTTTAGTCGATCAAGCGGTCAAATAGTTATAAATGTTTCACGCAGCATTAACAAAACAAGGAAAGTTTTTGCGCGGGTGTTTAATTGTCTGTGCTGAAAGGTGAACCTGGTGAGTCTTAGCTAACTTCTTAGCAATGAAGTAATTTCTTTTTCTCTTCGAAATCTGACTGCGCCTCGTGTTTTGTACTTAATAAAACACTCCCCCTCATTTTTTTTTAGCAATACGTAACACGTTGCTTACCTCCTTCAAAAAGTTAAGTTCTAGTACAATTCAACAAAAGCGCCTTTGGTTCGTGGTTGTTGTTGTGGTTGTTGTTGCAATTTTTGATAAAAGGACAAGATTTCTTAACTTAAGAAAGTGGAGCCGGGCGAAGTCGAGTGGTTTAGGAGTTCATGAGTTACAAACTGTTATGGTTTTGAACGGCTTATCTCTACAGAAAAGATGTAGTTATTTTGCAAAACTGCAGCAAAAACGTATAAAGTATTAATAGAGTGTTCACGTGTTAAAATTTTTTGATTGAGTGTATGTTCTTTTTTTCAGCAGTTACGACGGATATGATCAGGTATGAGTGGCATTTGTCTTTTTGCGCAATTTATTTGTACTTTTTTTTTCTCCAATATGAGTCATTCTATCTCAATCTTCAAACCTGCTTGTAATAGAATCGCTTTGTTCTACTTTTTGTTTTCAGACATACGGTGCCAGAAGAATAGGAGGTTTCACGGGGTAAGGAAATCTGGTGTACCAGTATAATGTCTTCTTTCCAGCGCGAACAATTAAAACCAATCAGATACTCCTAGAAAAAGGAGCCTCAAAATCAAATAAGGAGACCTCTCACCGGCTTAGAAGTGAAGAACTAACGTAGGCCAATCCCGTTAGAAACACTTTTGCATTTGTTTTTTACCATCACAGCAGCGACCACAACATAAACTTGAAAAGCGCTAGATACCTCGTGGTTTTCTCTATGCTTGGATCGGTTTGCTAACTTTTGTATTAAATTATCTGTTTTCATCAACAGATACGAAACAGCAGCCTATGGAGGTGGATATGGCCCGGTAATGGCTTACTTTTTTGGATAATTGTTTGTGTTGCATCACTGCACCATGTCATTGGCTAAAAATCACGCAGGCTGTCTAGTAATCTTATTATGTTATTTGTGTTTTGGGATTCCAGTAATGGTTCCTGTTCGATCCACTTTCCCTGTACTGAATCTCATTGTTTCACTTTTTCACAGGCAAGCACATATGTTGCTCCTGCGCCAGCATACCGGCCAGCGGTTCCTCCACAGGCTCCCCCAACAGGTTACAGTACAGGATACAGATACGCGCCATATTAAATTACTTCCGGTTAATGGCACATACGTACACGTTGCACAATAACATCCAGGACAGAGACACAAGTAATCGAGGTCTAAAGTTCGCCGAATCCGTGAAAGCGAACCCTTGATTCGATCATTGTGAATAGATGAATTATGTAAATAGTAGGTATTTGGCTGAATTCTTTCAGGAAATTTGAGCGGAAAGTAGGAGTTGTAGAAAGTGAATAGAGATGATTCATCATCGCAGAAACCAGTAAGCTTGAGTCACGGTTGAGGCTCAGTAAGGAAAGAGACGAAAAAGAAGTCTTTTAGACTCTTGAAATCAACCGTTATCTTTTTACTGAAGTACAAAGAATAAATAATTGAGTTGCACTTCACGTGTTCATTTTTTCGCTCAGGACGCTCCTTAAGTTAGCTTTACTACCTAAACAAGACGCTGTGGGAGCGTATAATTGGGCATTGTTGTACTAGGCGTATGTCATGTTTTCTACGTTTATTAGGGATGTGTGAGTAGTGCAGTAGCGTT